CGCTTAAATTAAACCATATTCATTGTACAAATTGAGAATAAGGACTCCAAAAACGAGCTCAATATTTTTTTGAAATTCTATATCCGGTGATCTCCTGCGAAATGCAATCAAAGTTGTAAATAATGACGAAGTGAACATCACTGATTAGTTTTATGTTTTTATTTTTGCTTCAAATGTTTGTGTGAAGAAATGAAAAATGCAAGCGCTACGATATTATGCTCCAACCCAATACAGCATGGCTTCGCTCTTCGAAAATATGGATCATTTTCTCTTTGTCGATTCCATTTTCATTACCTTTCGGTTAATGATTCCTTTGGTCTCCTGTCTTTGAAAACTGGACGAGCTCACTCCTCGCCTAAATCTGTACCTTTGAAGGCGCTGTAGTGACCCATAAGGATTGCCCTGTACAACACGATTTACTGCTTTCTTCCTACTTCATTTTTACATACAACGATTTTTCGAGCGTAGTTCTCGTTTTGAAGCGAACCATCGTGTCATCTTCATTGTTCATGTTTAGGCATCGCAGCATTACTAGAGACGAATCAGCCACTTATTGAGAGTGCTTATGGGCCTGATAAATTGTTGGATTTCATAAATATGCTACAAGTTGGTCCATATTTATTGAAAAACTTATCTGGAACTCGACGAAATAAAAGTTTTTTTCTGTGCAGGTCGACATCGATCAAGTTGTGGGAAAAGTGATCGATGCGTTTGCTAAAAAGCGACAGTTAGAGAAACGGCTGAAAGCAGTTCAGCGCCTTCTGCGAGAAGATCGTCACAGTGATAAAGGGGAAGGTGAATCTTCCTATTTACTAAATAAGGACGTATCGAATCGAATGACTTTGAGTTTCACAGCAGTATCAGATGCTAGAAGTTACAGATAGCATTTCAGTGGAGCGTTTGGACGCCCTTGAGCTGGATAAATTGTTATCGGAGATTTGTCTCATGAACACGCACACAGAAATGTACTGGAGATTTGTACGTAGACGACTCAAAGGAGCATCTCTTGAAGCGGATCAAGAGGAGGTGTGCACCTTTCGCGATCCGTTATCTTACCTAGCTCTACCTACCTAACCTTGACCTCTGACTAACTCTGACCTTTCTTCTCAATAAATATTTGTGGGTTATACGGCTACTTCGAAAGAATATAGTTATTTAGTTTGTCATGATAAATGCGATATTTTGAGATGACGAAGAAGAAGAAAAAACGTTTAGAAGAGGAGAAAGCACGGCGAAAAAGGAGCGAGAAAAGAAGCTAGACCAGCTATTGAACCGCAGTCTTGTCGGCTCCAAAATGCAGGTGGGACCTTTGTATTTTCCAGGAAAGTCTCCCAAATTGCAACTTATTTGAGATTTTCAGGAACTGTTGGGTAATTATCTGCTATTAGAGCAATACTACATGCAGGAATCTGTACGTAAAGCGATTGACATGGATGCTAAGGAAGAAGGGCTTTTGAGGTTGGTTCGGTCGCAATTCATTCGTTAAGATCATGAGAAAGTGATCTGTTATGGAATAGTACCAGGAAGGAGCCACTCCATGGTAAATTTCGGTGAGATTTCTTAATGCCTTGTTCAATTGATCTAATGACTAGATGCTCGTGCTCATCTATGTAATTATCTGTAAGCCTAATATAGTGTCTTTCCCATTGATTTTTCATTTAAGCAGTTCTGTTTGTTATGACGTGCCTATTTTATTTGGTTAGCGTAAATGCGTTAGACGTGCTATGAGTAGTGGGTCTGTGGATTGCGTTTGCGCAGCCCTGAATTACGGTGTTGCTCTACTTGAAACCACTTATTATCAACATCTTCAGAAACACCATTCAGGTATGTAGTTTTGTATTTTTTAATTTTTTTTTTGCGTATGCCTGCAGTCTCACTTGCTGGCATCTGTTTTGTATTCCAGACAGGCTATCCTTCAACTAACTTCGCGGCTGAAGCGCTTCCAAACTGCTCAAAATGCCTACAATGTCATACAACACGGTAAGCAAAATGGATTTGGGAAAACTTTTTCAGTACACAGTGTTACTCATATGTCTTTTCTTTTTTCAGGAAAGACGGCTGATCCAGATGTTCAGCGAGATAACTGTTCAGCACCGCTGCTAAAATAATCCACGGTGGACGTGAATTGTGTTGGATTTACGCAAAGGACTAGAGAACGAATGGAGCAAGACCCAGGTAACGATAGACCACGTCTTAATTCAGTCGTCAAGGGCGCTTACGGTGCAGCAGCATTGAGCATTGTTGATTGTGCTTTTTTCCCATTTCGACTTCTGAGGAAAAGAATTGGCAAACATTCTGGGAAGCTGTAAAACTATTAAGTTGTTCGCATCAAAATAGGTAGAACCTCCATGGATTTTACAGTGCGCGATAAGCTTTTTATCAAGCTTCTATTTTTAGTTCCGGAAGGTTGGCTGTAAAATTTAGTTTTTTTTTTCGATTTTTAGAGTTTTTTTTTCATTGTAATCCTTTTCAGCGCAGCAGCGTAGAAACAGGAAAGCTGGAACACGCAGTGGGCCAGCTAGCAGATGTTTCACGAAAAATGCATCATTTGGCAACTATTGGAATGGAGTCTTTGTGTAAGACAGCGTTTCGACCGAAGCTCAAAACGAGGTTTGGTATACGTCTACTTTTGAGTCGTATCAGAGTGATACCCTTAGCGTAATAACTTAAATGTAGCATCAGACAGCAAAAAACTTTTCATGGCGTGTTCTAATTTGGTGTCGATGGCTAACAGAATTCGGGAGTTTACTCAATATGCAGCATTATTTGGAGTCTTATGTATTGAGCCAGAAACTCCCATTTGCATCCGCCGCTTCGCGCAAATGCGTTCGTAGCTACGTCGCAAACCCTTGCAGCTTGCTAACTATGTTTCCTTAAACTATATATAAATTACACTAGAATATGACAAACGTACACGGGGAAACGGCGGAAAACTGAAAAGTGTGCAAGCCAGCAGTGACTTAGTCAGCACCCATCGACCTGAGCGAGGTGCTCAAAGAAATTTGAGTGCTAATTAACCAGGAAGGTCTTTCAGGGCGTGCTAAGCTTTAGCAAAACGTTCTTCTCCATGATGTGGGGGCACATGTATGAACCAAAGAACCGTGGTTACTTTTTATGAACGGCCTTCTAAATACCAGAAGAGGGGGTCCTTGGATCGACCCCTCGTAGTGACAACAGTGTTTCGCATTTCGAGTTCCCATTTCGAAATTCGTGCAAAATGTAAGTCATGGTCAAGCAGCAATGTAACCTGCATATCGTTCCATACGTACGAGTCCTATTTGCAATTAGTTTCGAGTAAACTCGAAATGCGAAAAATTTGTCACCACGAGGAATCGAACTAGGGACCCCCTTTTCTGGTATTCAGAGGGGCCGTTCAGAAAAAAAAATTAGCCATGGTTCTGTGGTTCCTACATGTGCCCCTATACAATGCAAAATACCGTTCTGAAAAGCTTGGCACGCCCTGAACCACCTCCTCCTGGTGTAAGCGCGAGAGTCGGATCAGTCGCCGCAGTGCGGTCGTTTTTGCGCCCTCTCTTGGTTACGTAACCGCGCACTTCTAGCTTTTCACCCATCTCAATGGATCTCATACCCCGCCCCCGTAGCATCTCATGAATCGGCCATCGACTCCCCCTGGGGCTTAAGCCGTTTCTAAGGCAAACGAGATGGAGCCCCATTTAGGTTGCGGTCTTCACTTTCGTAGTGAGTCGTTCAACTTTTCCTGCCATGACCTTTTGAAACGCAATTACGCATAACAGTTGTGGTACGGTGATGCATGCCTTCAGAATTTCTGTTGCTGATTTTTTGCGGTTCGGACTTGCTGTCAGTTTTCGTCCCACTCCCAACGCCTGTGATATGCCCTCAAAATTAATTTCAAAAAGATAAGAATTCCAAAGACATTCCTACCTCAAGACTGGAGACCGAAGCGTGTTACCAATTAATCAAAATAATGGTATCTTTAGCTGTATGCCTTTCTGGATTGCCGCATACAACTACGACTGCTAGTTGCGGACGTTCGAGAGCAGTATCCGTTCATTATGGTAGCAGTCGTTACGCCAATTGGACCAAGCAGATGCAAGTTCTCGAGGTCTGCTCTTGCGATAAGGAGAACTTCCGGAGTTTGGTTGAAGTGGCTGAAAGTCTCGTCATGGTTAAGTTGCGATTGTTGGCAGATCGATAGATTCTCATTGGCATTATAATTCAGAGTTTGCTGTTAACTGTGTGCAGTGAGGTAGAAAGCCAGTTGGAACGTGTCATCATGAAATGTTCTTTCAATCGGCTTGGCGGACTGCAGCTAGATCGGGAATTCCGTCAGCTTAGTGCTTATCTCAGTGGAGTGGCCGGCTGGACAGCACGAGAAAGATGTGCTCGCCTGTCGCAGGTGTGAGGTTTTTATTGCCGGCTTTTCGAAATAGAAGGAGGATAGGAGAAGTCATCGTAGTTGTGGAATTAAATTTGTCAAAGTTTTCTCGATCTGATCTTTTGTGGGATTTTACTTCTTCTGCCTTTTAGTTACGCACCGCGATGCCCAGGTGAAAGACATTGCGCTTGAAAATGAATACTGGTACGATAATTACTCGGCTTGTATGAGAAAAAAAACGCGACGCTACATTTAACCCTGCGAAGGGAAGGCTCATTGCGGCCTGCACAGTAGGTGGGCGGATGCTCGCCGCTATCATCGTTCTCATGGGTTATTCAAATGGGAGGAGCTCACATTTTAGAAAGGTGCCCATGGTCGGGCCGATTCACTCGTCGTCAGTCCAAAGGTGCAGCGTGGTGTGGTCAGACGGGTTTTTGGCAGTTTCATTTGATTATTCCTATACTAGATGATCTACCCCATCTTCCTTTTTTTGAGCGTAGCAGTCTAGGCCACCGTTGAATGCGCCTTCATGGGACAGGCATATGGAGGGAGGGAAGGGGGATTTCACCACTTGGTAGAGCTACGACACATTTTCGGAATACGCTGATATAGGTATCCCCTCAAATCTTCGGATAGCTACATCAATTATGCGGCTGCAATGGTGTGGAAGAGAACAGGCTTTATTCGAGAACTTCTCAGACCAATTTCAGTAGTTCACCTTAGACATAGAAATGTTTAGATTGTTGCTCTTCTGAATGTGGAGAATGTGGATGAAGCGGTCGAGTTGAGAGAAGCGACGAGGACATCGCCAATAGCGCGCATGCTGTCAGCAAACGATACCATCAAAGTGCTCGAGCTCAGAGTTGATTTACCGGCTGCGGTGATTCAGAAATTGGAGTTCTGATTTGATTTTGATTTTTGATTTTGTATTTGTGTTTTGCAAAGGATTATCGTGTCCATTTGGTTGCTCCCGTTTTGTTCCTAAATCCTATTCAATATTTATTTTCGTCGGTAGAAGTTGTGCATGATCAAGTGTAAATAAGATTCCAATTACTTATGGTGGGCAGGTACTGATGATATGAATAATTACGGTTTGTTCAGAGGTTAACTGTGATAATAAAGATGCGTGCTGCACTGCTGGTTCCAAAGGTTGTCGAGCTATTCTGTGGTAATACCAAGGTTACCCGGAAGAGAAGAATCAAAATTCACTCCCTCTAGGAAGTGTTCAGCATTTTCATGTCGTACTTTATTTGGCGAGTGAAGTCAAGTCGACTCAGTTGTGGTGAACTTGTGGAGCACCGGTCACAGCGGAGCAGAGGTGTGTCGCATCATGATTATAGAGGTTTTAGCTTTTTTTTCTTATTAAACTGTAGGCTTGATGGAAAAGAAAGTGTAGGTAAGTAACCTCCTTCAAAAAGCGAGAAAGTGTCGGGTGCAGACCAAACACCACAACTGACGACGGCCTCCAAGTAAATCTGGTTAGAAGTGTTCATAGTGATAGCTGATTTCTGGTAAATGATAGTTGTAATTAGTGACAATCGATAGAATACAACTGCAACAGGCTAATCATTTCATTGGCAGAAAACATTAACATTTTGTAAGGTCGTGTGCATGTGGTGCACCCGACACTTTCTCGCTTTTTGAAGGGGAGGGCATGAACTGGGAAGAAGATTGTTAGCGGCTGGAGGGTCTGGGTGAGGGACAGAGGGAGGGGGGAGGTTACTTACATGA